GAAATTGCATAAGGCGGGACTGAGGTTAAATTTTATTCCGATGAGGACGTTTTCATCTACTAAGACATTCAAGACGCTTCCATAGTGTCCACTGTATTCCATCCTGATTTGCTATATCAACTAGCACGAGTGATAACAAATTGATAGTCATTGAGCGTAAGACAGTGTATGAGAGAAATGTAGATTTAATTGCTATTCGGGTTCTTGTTTTTTGTACATAAATCGATTGGACCGACCTATTCATGAATCTGCTGAGATTCATCCTCTCAATATTATGTTGTTTTGACGTTCGTATTCCATGTCACAAGAAATTGTTTTTGGCATTTTCCCCTTATTATAGTTAACGATTCGGTTTATTCTCTAGTATCATTTTTTCACAACATATTGATTGGATGAACGAATTTCTTCAATAAATTGTCTCAACACCTCGTCACCATTTCAGTAAGCGTATGGAAAAGTCCTAGCCGAAAGTCTCTGGCTAGTAATTTGAACGTTGACCACTCGACGTTCACTTTACAACACAACACTGCGATAGATGGCAGAAAACTCGAGCAAACACGAAACTGGCATTTGGCACTATCATCGAAGATCGACATCGAAGGAGATTCGGGCGGAGCCAAAGGCGGGCATGGAATAAGCCCGCAGAGGGGCGCCTACGTATCAGGCGACGCAATGAAAGAATCGGGTTAAAGCGCGCGATTTCGGAGAGTAGAGACAAATCGATCGATAGAATAGGATGGAGTAGAAGTGTAAGATGTGAATGCAATAAAGCAGAAGGGAAAGAGTTTCTATTTGAAAACTATTATAGCTATTTGGGCCTAAGCCCAAACATAAATCTATTTGTAACCATAGCTCTAAGCCTAAACCTAAACATGAATCTATTTGTAACCATAGCTCTAAGCCTAAGCCTAACCTAAACATGAATCTATTTGTAACCATAGCTCTAAGCCTAAGCCTAACCTAAACATGAATCTATTTGTAACCATAGCTCTAAGCCTAAGCCTAACCTAAACATGAATCTATTTGTAACCATAGCTCTAAGCCTAAGCCTAAACATGAATCTATTTGTAACCATAGCTCTAAGCCTAAGCCTAACCTAAACATGAATCTATTTGTAACCATAGCTCTAAGCCTAAGCCTAAACATGAATCTATTTGTAACCATAGCTCTAAGCCTAAGCCTAAGCCTAAACATGAATCTATTTGTAACCATCGCTCTAAGCCTAAGCCTAAACATGAATCTATTTGTCACCATAGCTCTAAGCCTATCTAAGCCTAAGCCTAAACTAAGCCTAAGCCTAAACATGAATCTATTTGTAACCATAGCTCTAAGCCTAAGCCTAACCTAAACATGAATCTATTCATAACCATAGCTCTAAGCCTATCTAAGCCTAAGCCTAAAACATGAATCTATTTGAAAACATCGATCTAAGCCTAAGCCTTCTAAGCCTATCTAAGCCTAAGCCTAAACTAAGCCTAAGCCTAAACATGAATCTATTTGTAACCATAGCTCTAAGCCTAAGCCTAACCTAAACATGAATCTTTTGTCACCATAGCTGTAACCTATTGTAACCTAAGCTCTAAGCCTAACCTAAACATGAATCTATTTGTAACCATAGCTCTAAGCCTAAGCCTAAACACGAATCTATTCGTAACCATAGCTCTAAGCCTAAGCCTAACCTAAACATGAATCTATTTGTAACCATAGCTCTAAGCCTAAACATGAATCTATTTGTAACCATTGCTCTAAGCCTAAGCCTAACCTAAACATGAATCTTTGTAACCATTGCTCTAAGCCTAAGCCTAACCTAAACATGAATCTATTTGTAACCATAGCTCTAAGCCTAAGCCTAACCTAAACATGAATCTATTTGTCACCATAGCTCTAAGCCTATCTAAGCCTAAGCCTAAACTAAGCCTAAGCCTAAACACGAATCTATTTCGTAACCATAGCTCTAAGCCTAAGCCTAAACACGAATCTATTCGTAACCATTGCTCTAAGCCTAAGCCTAACCTAAACATGAATCTATTTGTAACCATTGCTCTAAGCCTAAGCCTAACCTAAACATGAATCTATTTGTAACCATAGCTCTAAGCCTAAGCCTAACCTAAACATGAATCTATTTGTAACCATAGCTCTAAGCCTAAGCCTAACCTAAACATGAATCTATTTGTCACCATAGCTCTAAGCCTATCTAAGCCTAAGCCTAAGCCTAAGCCTAAACACGAATCTATTTCGTAACCATAGCTCTAAGCCTAAGCCTAAACACGAATCTATTCGTAACCATTGCTCTAAGCCTAAGCCTAACCTAAACATGAATCTATTTGTAACCATTGCTCTAAGCCTAAGCCTAACCTAAACATGAATCTATTTGTAACCATTGCTCTAAGCCTAAGCCTAACCTAAACATGAATCTATTTGTAACCATAGCTCTAAGCCTAACCTAAACATGAATCTATTTGTAACCATAGCTCTAAGCCTAACCTAAACATGAATCTATTTGTCACCATAGCTCTAAGCCTAACCTAAACATGAATCTATTGTAACCAAGCCTAAGCCTAACCTAAACATGAATCTATTTGTAACCATTGCTCTAAGCCTAAGCCTAACCTAAACATGAATCTATTTGTAACCATTGCTCTAAGCCTAAGCCTAACCTAAACATGAATCTATTTGTAACCATAGCTCTAAGCCTATCTAAGCCTAAGCCTAAACATGAATCTATTTGAAAACATCGATCTAAGCCTAAGCCTAAACATGAATCTATTTGTCACCATAGCTCTAAGCCTATCTAAGCCTAAGCCTAAACTAAGCCTAACCTAAACATGAATCTATTTGTAACCATAGCTCTAAGCCTAAGCCTAACCTAAACATGAATCTATTCATAACCATAGCTCTAAGCCTATCTAAGCCTAAGCCTAAACATTAATCTATTTGAAAACATCGATCTAAGCCTAAGCCTAAACATGAATCTATTTGTCACCATAGCTCTAAGCCTATCTAAGCCTAAGCCTAAACTAAGCCTAAGCCTAAACATGAATCTATTTGTAACCATAGCTCTAAGCCTAAGCCTAACCTAAACATGAATCTATTGTAACCATTAGCTCTAAGCCTAAGCCTAACCTAAACATGAATCTATTTGTAACCATAGCTCTAAGCCTAAATCTAAGCCTATCTAAGCCTAAGCCTAAACTAAGCCTAAGCCTAAACATGAATCTATTTGTAACCATAGCTCTAAGCCTAAGCCTAACCTAAACATGAATCTATTTGTAACCATAGCTCTAAGCTATCTAAGCCTAAGCCTAAGCCTAACCTAAACACGAATCTATTCGTAACCATAGCTCTAAGCCTAAGCCTAAACACGAATCTATTCGTAACCATAGCTCTAAGCCTAAGCCTAACCTAAACATGAATCTATTTGTAACCATAGCTCTAAGCCTAAACATGAATCTATTTGTAACCATTGCTCTAAGCCTAAGCCTAACCTAAACATGAATCTATTTGTAACCATTGCTCTAAGCCTAAGCCTAACCTAAACATGAATCTATTTGTAACCATTGCTCTAAGCCTATCTAAGCCTAAGCCTAAAGCCTAAGCCTAAACATGAATCTATTTGTAACCATTGCTCTAAGCCTAAGCCTAACCTAAACATGAATCTATTTGTAACCATAGCTCTAAGCCTAAGCCTAACCTAAACATGAATCTATTTGTCACCATAAGCTCTAAAGCTCTAAGCCTAGCTCTAAGCCTAAGCCTAAACACGAATCTATTCGTAACCATAGCTCTAAGCCTAAGCCTAAACACGAATCTATTCGTAACCATTGCTCTAAGCCTAAGCCTAACCTAAACATGAATCTATTTGTAACCATTGCTCTAAGCCTAAGCCTAACCTAAACATGAATCTATTTGTAACCATTGCTCTAAGCCTAAGCCTAACCTAAACATGAATCTATTTGTAACCATAGCTCTAAGCCTAACCTAAACATGAATCTATTTGTAACCATAGCTCTAAGCCTAACCTAAACATGAATCTATTTGTAACCATAGCTCTAAGCCTAAGCCTAACCTAAACATGAATCTATTTGTAACCATTGCTCTAAGCCTAAGCCTAAACTAAACATGGCCCTAAGCCTAAGCCTAACCTAAACATGAATCTATTTGTAACACCATAGCTCTAAGCCTAAATCTAAGCCTAAGCCTAACTAAGCCTAAGCCTAAACACGAATCTATTCGTAACCATAGCTCTAAGCCTAAGCCTAACCTAAACATGAATCTATTTGTAACCATAGCTCTAAGCCTAAGCCTAACCTAAACATGAATCTATTTGTAACCATAGCTCTAAGCCTAAGCCTAACCTAAACATGAATCTATTTGTAACCATAGCTCTAAGCCTAAGCCTAAACATGAATCTATTTGTAACCATAGCTCTAAGCCTAAGCCTAAACAAAAATCTATTAGTAATCATAGGTCCAAGCCTGCGCCGTAAGCCTAGGCCTAAGCATATTATTATTATTATACTCATACTCATACTCCTATGCTCGAGCCCAAACTTGTTTGTAATTATAAGCCCGGGCCTAAGTCATTTGTACTTCTAAGCCTACTAAGCCTGAGCTTATGGGTATCGCGAGCCCTAACGTAAGTGCAACTCCTTTCCTCGAAACGGATCGTTTCTTCAATATTATGGTGTTTTGACATTCGTTTTTCGCCTCAAATGATATGGTTTTGGTTTCTTCCCCTTATAATGAATAATGACTCGATTTTCTTTATAGATTTTTTGACCTCATTTTGACTAAGTGGGATTTCTCTATTTCCGATTCCTGTGATAATTGTTTAACATGTTGAGAAGGGTGAGCCGGAACTCATTCTGAGTAGCGCCCTTGACGTCGATTAGGTGCGTGTTTAGGCCTGATTTAGGATTGTGATACGAAAGAATGGAATGATCTGTAAACTTCTGTAAAGCGGTTTCCAACTGTGTTCGACAAATTGAAAGGTCTTTATGCTCAATTGATCGTGTAAAGTTGCTGGAGGGTGTTGTAGAGCTGAACTGAGTGAGTGTGATTCGGGAAGAGCGACAATGCAACTTTTATCATACGGAACGCCTCATCGTAGCGGCCAGTCTAAATATTTTTTTTACCATCGAGAAAACATCGTAAAGAAAGGATTCACTGATTTCAAATAGACACTCGAGATCAATTACCCACCTGGACATTCAGTAAGGCTAGGTTGAAGTGGGGTTCAAACAGCTGTGGCGACTTCGTTATAGCCGAGTGATAGAGTGATCGAGCTTGGTCTAGTTTTCCTTGAAAAAGTTAAATACATGATAAGCAACCGTGCCTATCAACTTCCTGAAGAAGTAGAGAAAGCGCCTTGTTGGGAGACGAGCTCTGAGACGTCATAAGCACAATTTGAAGGCTCAACGTGAGGATTCAAGGTCTCATTTAGGCAAAAAACTATTGGTATTGGCTCACCTTCCATCTGGCGAAGTATGCCCAAATTCACCATAGCTTCACCATGTTCGGAGTCGGCAGCAAGTGCCAGCCGAAAACATCGACTCGCCTGTCGTATGTCGCCGATGGCCTAAATAAATGGGTACTTTTGAACTTGGCAGTAACTCACAAAGAAGAAAGTCCGTTACTCTTTCACATTTGACTCGATCAAGAAAGTTAAACGCCCTAATGAAAAAACACAATAAATTCCAGACGATAAAAAACTATGGTAAACCCTAAATTGGCATTTGTTCGGCTTAACACTAGGCTTGAACCCTAGCCTATGCGTGATCATAAGCCTGATGGCAAGCGTGAGACTATCTTCAATCATAAACGTAAGCATAGGTCTAACCTATGTGTAATACTTGATTAAACCTAAGCCTAAGCCTAACTATGTGTAATCATAAGCCTGAGCCCAAAAAGAAGCCTAATCGTAGGCCTTCGAGGTGATGGTTATAATGGATGCCTCTTGATGGGAGCTCGACTCCCTCAGAAGCGTGCCCATTGCAAACTGAATGAGATTCATGTAACGGTGATATAAAATGGCGAAAAAAAATCATGGCAACTCTACATATTTGTTTCAAGATGAGCCGTTGAGCATCCTTGAATGGCTACCAACACTCCGAGTGGGTGGTCATATGTGAACGGTTATTACTCGGATTAACATGGATTGCGTGATTGTCATAGCGCTCTCGTTCTACCAAACTAGCCACCATCTGACAGTGCGGGTAGGGGGAGGGGCGGGGTGTACATCAGATGTTCCTGCGTAACCTTTGATTGGATTCTCTGATTTATCGCAGCGAACCTCGATCTGAGCCTGAACCGAAACTTAACCCATATGTTTAATCACAAGGCGCATCTGTGGTAACCTGACTAGGGAGAACTGGGTGTCTCCCGGTCGACCTTACCACTCAGCGTGTGCGCCTTACAGTGGGCTCAACAACACACTGCGCTCGTCTGAAATATCTTGAACTCTCGGCGAGATCAGGCACATAATTCACGTCGTAACCTGGGCACCCTTGATAAAACTTAAGCTCAAAGAATGGATCTCACTAAAAATCGCCCATGCTGCAGAGGCAACATTCAGGCATACATACTACGCTGAGAATCAGGCATTCATGTCTGTTCAAAATACTAGATATCATCGGAAAGCAGTATAAATAAAGGTGTCGGGTTACATGGTTCCACTGGGTAACTGTCTCAGAGGACATGCAGTCAGGGTCAAGCGTGCGTTGAGGAATCCTCGACATGTCACAGGGGGGGGGTCGTATTGGCCCGCTGGGGGAAGAGATCGGGCCGATTGATGCAGTAGGATCATCGTCGGAGGACAAACATCAAGGATCGAGTCGATGCCAGGCCAGAGTATTTCCAATAACAATTGATTCCGCCACACAAAATCTTCGTGATTCAGAGGTGTCCGCTTAGCAATTCTTAGTTACTTCAGTGTTTTTATCACCACACAAGTTAAAGAATCCGAAATTCGCACGTTTTCCAAGGGATATTTTATCTTTCAAGTGAGTCCTCGAATCTGAAGGGATGTGAAGCACACGGCGCATCCCAGAGTGGGCCCAGTTGGTTGCGCGCGCTTCAGCTACGGCTCTCTGGAGAAAGAATCTCAATTCAAAAAATCAAGAGGATTCTGAAAGGGTTCATGTGAAATTACAGGGAGGAGTACACCATTCAACAAGAAACGCAGTCTTCAGCGTCAAATTCACAAGCATGTAATCGTTAAAGTTGAGACACGCTAAACAATTTTACACTTTTTGGAAAGAGAAAAGACCCCGAAAGGGGCTATAGTCGTTGGAATAGTGCTGATGCAGCGGTACTCGGGCAAAAATCCTCAACGTGGCCATTTTTTAAATAGTGGACGTATTAGCAGTTTTAGCAACCTTTGATAGAGCAAATCTTCTAGTTTATGATGACGTATTAACTTTTCAGATTGATGAGTTTGAAGCAAGTTATGGCTTCGGAAAGTGTAAAAACTCGTGCTCATCATGAATTTTCCTCGTTAATTGATCTAAATTTGTTATTTCTTATAAATTTTTGTAATTTCAACACTGATTAGAAAGAGCTCTTCACAAAACTCCCAAATCTGCTTTCAGATTGAAAATTCGTCATATTTGAAGAAAGTTATAATCATTTGAATATTTGTTCAAATTTCAATAGTAGATAAGCTGCTCCACGGTCAACGCCAAAGATCAGTCAACACACAGCTGGCTAAGGCGGTTACAAGGCTTCTTTCAACGAAAGGGGGACGTGTAAATTGAGAACCATATCTGTGTAGTACTAGAATTTAAGTCTTGTGGAAGGAAATAAATAAAGAAGAGATGTTGTCATAGTATGCCATTTTTAGTGGCTAGTTTGTCGTTTTTTGCTCCGTTTCTCGTTTGCTCGTTTGGTAGGACTCATCAATAATGATCATTCTTTGACTTTTTCACTTTTGTACTTCTTAAACGAATTTTTGGTGGACGGTGGGGTAGCAGGGCTTTTTTATGAACAGTTTTGGGGGAGAATTAAACAACCTTTTCATAGTTCGGCTTTTGAAGAGGGTCGTTTCATGGACTTCGGCCTCTGGGGGAGGGAGGGGGGGGTCGTATTTCCAAATTTTCCTCGACAGCTCGCTTGACCCTGCTTCCACTATCGAATGCCGGCAAAGTGACATTCGAAAACAACTGAAAAAAAAACCACTGAGATTACCGATTGATATTTGAGAATCTCACTTCTGTATCACCTGTCACCTGTCGTCCCGTTGATCATCGAATTGCTCGGCAACGTCTCCATTCGTCCCTGTCGCGTGCAAGAGTTGTCCAGTGGACCCTCCTCGCTCGAGGGACACGATGTCCTTCATTCCTTTCGTTCAGAGCTTTCGTGAAGTCTGACCATCGGGCCGGCGGTCGTCCAGGTGTTCGTTTGACGTCCCGAGGGATCCAGTCGGTAACCGCTCTGGTCCAACGGTCATCGCAAAATCGCATGACGTGTCCGGCCCACCTTATCTTCGATTCCTTGGCGAAAACGGCAGCGTCCCTGATCTTCGATCGTTGGCGTAGTTCGGAACTCCGGATTCCCCTCTGCACTTGCGTGTATAGGGTTACTCCTAGCATCGTCCTCTCGACAGCGCGTTGGATAACGCTGACCGCATGCTCGTCCTGCCTGCGCAGAGTCCAAGTCTCTGAGGCGTAGGTTAGGGCAGGAAGGACAGCGGAATCGAAGAGGTGGGCACGGAGCCGGATGTTCTTCGTCTTCTTCACTACTCCCTCGATGTTCTTATACGCTCCCAATGCCGCTCGTTTCCTCCTGCTCAGCTCTGGAGCTAGGTCGTTCATCATATTGATTTCCCGACCTAGGTACACGTAGCTGGAGCATTCGGTGATGTTCGTTCCGTTGAGCGTGAATGGGGCATCAGGAACCAATCCGTTTCTCATAAACATCGTCTTCGTTAGGTTCAGCTGTAGACCGACCTTACCACAGGCGCAGTCGAAATCAGCCAGCATTCGCTCCGCTTGCTCGATGTTCGGCGTTATAAGAACGATGTCGTCAGCAAAACGAAGGTGGTGTAGTTGCCGGCCGTCGACCTTCACTCCCATGTCTTCCCATTCCAGTTGACGCATGACGTTCTCGAGAGCGGCGCTGAAGAGTTTGGGCGAGATGGTGTCGCCCTGTCGAACCCCTCTCTTGACGTCGATGATGACCTCCTTGTAGAATGGTGAGATTCTGGTCGTAAAGTTGCTGTAGAGCTCACGAAGAATCTTGATGTACTGAGTAGGGACGCCCTGGTTGCCCAAGGCTTCGATGACCGCTTCTGTCTCCACAGAGTCGAAGGCCTTCTTCAAGTCGATGAACGTGAGACAAAGCGGCATCTTGTACTCTCGTGAAACTTCAATGAGTCTCGTAACCGTGTGGATATGGTCGATCGTGCTGAACCCTCTTCGAACCCTGCTTGCTCGCATGGCTGTCCTTCATCTAGTATTCTGCCGATCCTGTTAAGGATGACTCGAGTGAATAGCTTGTAGATTACAGACAGCAGGCAGATTGGGCGATAGTTGCCAATGTCGTCCAGGTCTCCCTTCTTGTACAGCAACACGGTCCTGCTGGTTTTCCACGGAGTGGGTACCTTGCATTCCGACAGGTAGCGCGTGAAGAGTCGAGCCAGAGTTTTGATGATAACTGGCGGTGCATTCTTCAGATGTTCCGGTTTGACCCTGTCGAGACCGGGTGCTGTACGATTCTTCACCGACTTGATGGCGTGTCGGACTTCGGAAGAGAGAACTGAGGGGACGACGTATCCATCCTGTTGCAGTTGATAAGTGGGCAGATGGACATGGCTATCGAAGAGATCCGAGTAGAAGTCGTGGATGACTTTCTCCATTGCCCTTCGGGATGCAGTAACTGTTCCATCCGGACGTCGGAGGCAGGTCATCTTGGTCTTGTAGCTGGCAAAGCTTCGGCGGGCATTGCGGATGCTCCTCCCAGCCTCTGCTGCTTCAGCTAATACTGCTGCTCTTCGCTCCTTGAGATCTTCCTTTATCGCCTCTCTGCATAGCTTCGCAAGCTCGGACGTGAGTTGGTGATTGCCTGCAGCTCGTGCGGCTCCACGTTGGCGTATCAGCTCGAGAGTTTCCGTAGACAGACGTCCTTTGGTGACTTGCAAACTCTCTGCCTTCCTGCCACTCTCGTGAAGGTGTTCAACGAGCCGATGATATTCCTCGTCGATGTTCTCGATAACGGAATCCTCCCATAAGCTGACAAGAGAAGTGAAGTGATCCCAGTTGATGACTGTCCTGGGGCTTCGCTTCCTGAACTTCGAGGCTCTCTCAACACGCATCGAAAAGTGGAACTTTGCGCGGAGGAGACGATGGTCCGATCCCGTGTAGAACTTCGGAACAACAGCGACGTCGGTCAGGCAAAACCTTCGATTGAAGATGATGTGGTCTATCTCGTTATGGAACTGTCCATCAGGTGACTCCCAAGTCCAACGAAGGTGAGAGGGCTTCTGGAACTGTGAGTTACCATGGATGG